GAGAGAGAGAGAGAGAGAGAGAGAGAGAGAGAGAAAGTGTGGCAGAGGGAGGTTTTCACAGAGGGCAGAAGAAAGAAAAGCGAAGGAGGAAGAAACTGGAGCTGGCCACTAACTCAATAGAAGGCGAGAGAAGTCAATTTAGTTTCTCTGCAGAGGGCAGATTGCAGCAGTTAGCCAGCTCAGTAGCAGCGATCAACATCCTCTCTCTTTCCTGGGGGGTAAGGAAAAGGGATATGGGCCTCCCAAAGAAGATCAAAACATCATTCGCTACAAGGGCAGATGGGCATGAGAGAGACAGCAAATAGCCATAAAGTAGTTCCTATCACTTGATTAGAAGAAGCTGAATCAGATAGCACAGTCAGATAAGTGCGAGTGAGTCAGAACAGGAAAAACAGAGGTGTACAACGCTCACTTGTGAGCAGATGAATCAAAAGTAATGTGGTTGATACCACACGATACAGCTTTGGAGTGCCAGATTAGTGCTAAGTGCCAATATTCGCTACTCATCATCCACTGTGAAATGGATATTGCTGGAAAGTCAGATAAAAAAAAAGAGCAGCTTTTAAAATGGTATCAATGGGGAGGTGTCAGAGGAAGCTGAACAGACTTTAGAAATTCATTCACAGAAAGACAGAAAGATCAAAAAAGACCATCTTAAGGGGTAGCCTGATATGAAATGCCACAGTTGGTGGTCACTTGCATTATTGATGAGCCTTTAGCTTCCAGTGATCTGGATTCAGACTTTATTTCATGCCAAGAGGGTTTGTGCTTAACAGTCGTGCTATTATGTAACATTAACTGTGCTGTGTGCTGTGTATTCAATTAAAACCTGATGTAAACCATATCGCTTTTGTTTTATAAGTATAGTACGCAATCAACATTTGTAGCTAAGCAATGGCTCAAAAATGGCTGTGTAATGTGATCAGAGTGATAAGCAGCAGTATCTGTGGCACTGTCCCGTAGCTCTAAGTGGCATTTAAGCCTGTTTCAGCTCATTGCTTTAGTTCTTCAGAAATACAGCTGTTTTTAGCAGCAGATTCAAGCAACAAAGCTTTGACAAATCCACAGTATTCCAGCCTGTTCGACACAAAACTGAGCTGCAACAGACCCAAATATTTACCCCAGGAATCTTTCAAACCTCAAACAGAGCTGGAAAGAAACGCAAATATAGGAGTGGATACAAATATATCCAGGTGTTTTGTTTTTAGATCACACACCTGTCTCTAGCTCCAGCTTTAAATACAATCAAAACTCGTGTAATTGTCTGTGTCTAACTGTAAATGCAGACTTCAGTAGATTCTGCTATTATGCAAAACATAAACTATATCACAGAATTTAAGAAAATACACATTTTTGTGTATGTAGACAGTGCAAACATTAAGTAAGATGTATATCCATCTTTTAATCGCTTAAACAGGTAAAAGTATCCATCTGTGTTGGTCCCATTTACCCTTGTAAAAGCGTCAGCATCTTTCCACACTGTAGATGGTGCATTGCTAACAGCAGGAACAGTTACATCCATCATCATCTCCCACTACTTTCAGCAGTAGGAGCACATAAAAGCCAACTTCCAGCTGGCTGCCGCCAAAGATCTCTGACAGATGCTTGGTGGGAAGGGCTTGCGGCTGGCAAACGCGGAAGATACGCAGTCAATTATGGTTACTGGAGAGGTTGGGGTAATAGGTTTTTACAGTGCGTACTAGCCTATCCCAGTAATGGGAATGCCCAAACTGCAGGAGCATTACTGCATGTGCTGCAGATTTGCCTGTAAAATATGGTCTCACAATGCTGCACTGGCGGGATGGCTTTGTTTGTGTGTGCATGTGTGTGTGTGTGTGTAGGTAAATGAGATCTTATTAGCAGTCAAGTGCTGCAGTCACCATCAGAGAGCATTTTACACTGTTCTTACCCAATGTGAGCTCATCAGAGTGTTGCAGAGAAAAAAGAAAAGCTGTGTGCTACAACTCATTTATCATTTTAAATCAATGAATGCTACAATGTGATCATCCAATGAATAATACAACTGAATGCATAGAAAATCATGTTTTGAGTACAAGTATAGTACAGAGCACTTACCAGCGTAAGGGCCACTAGCTATATGAGTGGCTTATTTGATAATATAGGAGCTTTTAAAATCTTCAAATCCCACTACTCGATGATTTAATATTAAAAATGAATGCATCTTCACTTGTTTTAATTATAATATTGGGACATTTTATTTACAATATTGTACAGAAATCTTGAGCCACCCCTCTTTTCTTTCTATTTTGCCTCCAAAGAACAAGACTTTCTCGTATGATAGTTCTCCAGCCTTCCAGAAGGTCCAGAAGTTTCTTTAGCTGTTTTTCCATTCATTTTCATTCCAGTGCTTCTACCTCACTATATTCAGAGGAATGTTTTTGTTAGGCCACTTAACACTGACCTATGACTCATTCAAACATAAAAAGACATGATAAGTTAGGGGATGAATCAGTGTTGTCTCTACGCAAAGAACTGTATCTTCAGGCACTTTGTTACTAGCAGCCTGTGACAACACACATAAATTGTATTTTGAAGTGGAGAACAAAAGAATAAGAATCTTCAGAAGATAAAGTTATCTGAATGCCATGTCCTTAATATGGGAAAAGATCCAGCCTGACAGGACCTGAGAGATGCATCTGGCCTTCCAGTTGATCTGAAGGCCCAGATGTTCACTGAAGACTCACGAGATGGTCTCAGTGGAAGGGACTGTCTTCTTCTGGCAAGAAAGCATTGTTAATGAAGGGATACTGGGACAAAGGGCTGAGGTATGCCAAATTGTACAAAAACTGGACTGAAAAATCAGTGGCAACAGTGGAGTGGAGTGGTGAATCCAAATGTGAAATCAGGATGTGCAGAAGAGGTCAGGAGAGAGATACAACAGTGAGTGTCTACAGCCATCTGTAAAACATGGTGGAGGTTCTGTCATGGTTTGGAGCTGCCTATCAGCCAGTGGTGTTGGAAATCTTGACAAAATTGATTACATTTAGTTTTATTTATATAAATGACAACAACTGTTGCCTCAAGGTGCTTAATTGATACAATTGTAAACACAGAGAAGTGCCATCAGATGTTAATACCTAATGCAATACC